ATTTCCTAACCTGCTAATTTGTAAATGAGTACAAAAAAAACAATCTTTCATTTTTCTATCCATAAGCATTTTGGTGCTGAATATTTCAATCATTGACAGTAGAAAAAATTGATTTGGCTTTATGATGATCTATATGGATAAAGGCTGAATAAAAAACTAAACATTTTATTTTAACTCTTTGACGATGTGGATGTTAGAGTCTTTTATTCACTCACACCCACATTCTCTAACAAATTTTTTATTTATAATAATGGAAAATATTCATGAAAATTTTTTGGTCGTGCAAACTTATCTATATAAAGTTTTTTTTTGTTTTAGCACAATTGCGATGTATTCGATTATAGGTAAAATTCTTTGTTATCATTGCAAGGGATTCGAATTTGATGCATAGGTCTAATAAAGAAGGTAGATGAATGTTTTTATCGAAGAGAAGTTGTTCAGCATAATCCACATGTGTTTGAACCAGATTGAGAAGAATAAGATGAGGAAATATAATTAATGTAGACGAATGTTGTTTATTATTTTGTGGTTGATGATTAATAACATATGATTCTTTGAGAAGAGGAAAATGTTGAGAGATAAGTATGAATAAATTATATTCAAAAGGACGTCCATCAGTCATTGTTAAGGGTCGAACTGTATCAAACATATCACCTTGAAAAGAATTGTTAAGATGAAGAAAATATGGAAGTGAATAGACATGCGACATGCCTATATTGTCTTCTGATCTAATATAGACGTAAGAGCCAACTTCTTTCCAATGAAACTATGTTGAACATCTTCATTCCACGATAGATCGATTTTCATCTTTTCATTAATAACACCTGTGTTTTTACTGAACGTAAATTTATTCAATTGTGACATATAACTACGAATTTGATCATGTTATTGAATACCATCAATTTAAGTCGAGTATTTTTTAATACTACCAAAAATAATGTCAATTTTTTAAGATTTATTATTCGATGAAGTAATGAAATTAGTTGTTCATCATAATGAATTGTAAACTCAATGAAAAATATTTCAATTCAGAAAGTTTTTCCTATGTAATGAAAATATAAATAAGATTTTGTTTCTCTTCAAAATAGAAGAGATATTAATTTCTATCTGATGAATTCAATAGTATTTTTTTCACATCAATAATCAATATTGATAAATATTTGAGATTTCGAACAAGATAAAAACAATCATCAAATTTTTTGACATTAACTTTTAATTTTGTTAAAATCGATGATACACGACTTGTTGGTGGAAACTCATAAATACAAATCGAAGTTTTTCAATCAGGAAATAATTGAGAAAAATTCAAATTAATCAATCGTTGATATGTAGATAAAATCAATGCAAATGTATTTGATAGAATTATAGAGATACTTTGGATTCTGGTTTATACGAAACATCAATATTAAGATCTATAATTTGTTGAGTAAGAAGATGATGAAGAATGGAATCACGTATCAATTATGTTATACTATATTATCATTTTATTATTTTATATAAATAATGTACTTGCTAAATATTGAAAAAGTATTTCTTCTTGGAAATTAACAAGTGATAATGAACAGTAAAAAGAATTTTTTCCATTGAATTTTGTTCACCAATAAGTTCATTTAATTGATGATGAGTTCGTAGTAAGTTTTTTTCACACATTCTCCAAAGAACATTCTTGTCTAATGAAAAATTATGATCGTAATATGATTTTATGACCATGTTTGTCATATCAAGATTTCGAATATGAATTAATTAAACCGTTCATTAACATCCACAAGTGAATCAAGAATATCGATCGTATTCAGTTTATTGAAAATGACTAATAATATTTCATTGGGTAAATCGAGTGTATTAAGATTATTTGAAATATCAATGTCTGAGTTCGATTATGTTACTCGTTTGATTTTATATATGAATGTATTTCTTCTCATTGCCATCTATGATCCCAAACAGACTGAAAACAAAAATGAAACGAATTCAGCAATATCATTGTTTGAGGCCTATGATAACAATGAAGTCAAGATAAATATTGACGTTTTAATATTAAACTATGATGTACAGCTGATGCATTTTATATTCTGTCTAACATTTTTCCATTATTCGTCAGATCATTTTATTTTATTGGAATGTTTGTTATTATGTAGTTTGATTTTCATATTACATAATATTATGTTTGAATAAAACATAGTTTATCAAACAGACATTCGAAATTTAATTTAAAAATGGTGTGGATGTAAGTGCGTATCTGTATTCTTCTCCTTCTACACCCACACTCACGAATGAGTATACTGTTTTTGTTCAAGATTCGAGTATCATCATCTCTATCAGATAATGTTTCGATTGCTTGTCAATCTTGTGAATTTCTCTAAAATCATTGTATATCAATAGCTAATAGCAACTTAGAAACCGATACTACTAAAAATGTTTGAGGTTAACTACGGTTTACACGATATTCTTCTTGAAACAGAGCAGAATTATTGTTTTTTGAATCGCTGCTTCAATTAATAGTTCATGTTGCGTGTAGAACATTTATCCAAAAATCATTAGTATTGAAACATAGTTATTTGTTTGAATGGGCATCTCAGGTTTCTATTTTTTGTTTTTATCTTGATTGTATGTGTAGTGTTGTTTGTGATGAGAAAGTAATTATACGAAACAAAAATCAGATTCAATTAAAAAAGAAAAGTACTTTCTAACCGAAATAAAATATGAACGAGCTGTTTATTCATCGTAATTTATTTCAATACATAGAAAACTAAAATTAATGTGAACCACGAAATTGTTTTGGAGCTACTTCAATACATTTTTTATCTTTGCAATCGGCTTCTGGTTTTATTAACCTAACACACGCTGAGTATGGATTTTTTTTGCGATCTTCTTTGTTGAGGGCTGCAGGAATAGATCTTGTTTCACTGGCTAATCGCTTGATCTCACGCACACTTTTAGGATCAACTGTTGAATATATAGTATAACCCCTTGGACCACCACACGGATCAGCTCCAGTTTCTTCTATTGCACATTGTTTGCTTGAAGTACATCGATTGGATGCTGCGACCGCAGCCTGAAGCTTAATATGAGTAGCTGCTAATTTTTTGTGAGTTAATGGAAATCCAATGATGATAACCAATATATCTATTTATAATATTAAAACTTGATGATCAGTAATTCTATACTCTTATAACTACGCACTTACTCAATAGTAAAAGTAAACGAAAATATCGTTGCATCTTGTTGTGTTAAAGAAGAAGAAAAGAAATAAGATTTTCGCGTTTCTTATAAAGAGTGAGAAATCGTAGGATTATCTGTTTATTTTTCGTTCTGAATCATGTATGCCACAAAAAAAAAATCAAATGATAAAACATCGAATCACAAGAGATCTTGTCATAATTTACTTTCCATTGATGAAAATTTTAAAATAATGAAATTCGTAATATAACATTCAACGTACTTCTTGACAATAGAATTCGTGAAATCGATTGTATTCATTTGTATTTTATTCGAAAATCTCGATGTTTGTATTCTTATTGATTTTTTCGAAGAAATTCTGCATAATTCCTTTACGTCTACTAATAAAAAGAAAGTATATCTGGTGATTTGATAATTAGACATGCATGAAAATCGAAATTCCGTAGTTCATTCATCCTCATGATTCTTTCAAGAACTATTGATTATGAAACGTATGAATCCATCATCGATGTCTGAAGAAAGAGATTCACGAGCGATAAGTTTATCTTACTGAGTTTAATACGCCTGATTATTTCAATGAAAAAGTCAGTTTCGAATCTTTCTAAAATTCAAATTTATGTTCAATTGCTTGCAATATTGAACTCATTCTATTCATGATCGAGAGCTCATCAATCTTCTCAGATACATTTCGTCGCATTTTTCGAAAACATGTACCTCTACCATTACATCTAGTCCATAACGCGAAAAGAAAGATCTTGTGCCTTAACAGATGATAACTAAACTTAAAGTCTTGAATTCTTTTCACTGAAGTAAATATAATGATTGATTCAATGATGATACAAATAAAAAGACAGCTTTCCAAACCTAAAAAACCACAGAAAGTTCTGAAAAATTACGATAGGAAGGTCAATTTTT